AACACACACACATGAACAAAACCCCAAAACCTATGTACTTGTCTGTGTACCTATGTGAATATTTACCAAAGCACAAAATATGGCCTGGAAGGATACGTGCTAAACCAATACGCATCAGCTTCTAAAGGGGGACAAGGCTGTGACTAAGGCAAGTTTTCACTCTTTCCTCTGATTTTACCATGAGTACATCTATGTGTTACACATGTATTTTTCTAAGTGTCCTTGCACTAACCAAAACAAAGTCACCTGCAGTTGAGAACTGTGTTTAGGTGCATCCAGCTACCTCCTGAACTCTGACATTTGAACAACTGCTCCTCCTGGAGTGATGCAGGCTCCCTCGATACCATTCATTAGATCTGTCCGTAGTTATGGTCAAATTCTAGCACAATTGCAAGGATATAATTGTGGCTAGGAGACCCAAAATACCTGAAGCCTGATCTTAAGCAAATATCCCTCCTTGTAAAGGCATGAGAGATGGTGTGCCTGGAAAAATACACTAGTGCAGATAATTTTAGACTGCTGGGCTCGGCTGAATGGAATGCCCCTTTCTCAAAATCTAATCAGGCCTAAACAGTTTGACCAATGTAGATCTTCCCATCTGCTTATTTCACCCCTCAACAGTCCAGTTCACAGTTCAGATGTTACCGAGAGAGAAAAAGGTTATCTGAATCAGCACTCACTAGCCTGTAACAGGGGAAATGAAAACAGAGAAACCACAAGGGGCACTTTCCCCACGCTCGTGTCCAGCTGGCCCCATCTTAGTCCCTTCCTGGCCGGGACAGCGGCCCTGTGACGTGACCCACTGTCCTGGGATCTACTCAAGCTTTGGCACTTACTGCTCCCAGGCAGAGGAGGGTGCAGAGGAAATGGGAAAGGCCTGGCACCAGAGAGGCATCTTTTAGAAGACAGATGAGGCTTTGGCTCAAGCCACAGCACACGGATTTGCGCAATCTAACCGTGTTTCCATTTAAGTCTCTTCCTCCTCACAGACTAGCCGTTTATGAAGTCTCCTGACTACAGCGGCACTGGTCTAACACCAGTCAGATCACATCAGCTCAGTCAGTCAGTAGCTCCTAGATGGTCAATGGAAGGCTTGATCGTTACAATGGGAGTGGGGTCTTACTGGCAATAAAAAGAAGTATAAAAGCAGGGGTTGCAAGTCCCCTATAATAATGAAAACTTGGACACACCTCCTGAGCCCAGCAACAGGGAAACATCTGAGCAAACTCATCTCTTTCTTTCCCTTCAAAGGCGTAACTCAGAGATACTGCAGGTTCAGTTCCAGAGCATCGCAATGAAGCAAGCATCACAATACAGCGAGTCCCACGAACGTTCTGATTACCCAGCGCATGGAGAGGTTACGCTTACACTGTAGTCTGGTCAGCAGCACTGTCTAAAACAACAGTGTACAGACCTTAATTAAACATACAAAACAAAAAACCAATTACGGTAGTAACATCAAAGTTCACAGATTATCAAATAGCATATGATATCACTTATGTGGCATCTAAAAAAGACAGACAAACTTATTTACAAAACAGAAAGAGACTCATAGACATAGAAAACGAACTTATGGTTGCCAGGGGGAGAGGGTGGGAAGGGGTAAATTGGGAGTTTGGGATTTGCAGATACTACTGGTATATATAAAACAGATAAACAAGTTTATTTTGTATAGCACAGGGAACTATATTTGATATCTTGTAGTAGCTTATGGTGAAAAAGAATAGGAAAACGAATATATGTATATTCATGTATGACTGAAGCATTGTGCTGGCCACCAGAAATTGACACAACACTGCAAACTGACTATACCTCAATTAAAAAAAAATCACAGATTACCGAAACAAACATAATGAGAAATTCTGAAATCCTGCAAGGATTATCAAAATGTGACAGAGACACGAAGTGAGCTAACGCTGTTTGAAAAATGGCACTGATGGACTTGCTCCACACTAGGTTGCCACAAACCTTCAATTTGTGAAAAATACAGCATCTGCAAAATGCAATAAAGCAAAGCATAATGAAACGAGGTCTGCTTGTGAGAGGAGAAGCCTGTGGCAGCAATGGACAACAGAGCGGGTAACAGAGGAGTCAAAACAGAAAGGAACTCATGACACCAGTGAAGCAGGTGGCTGCCCACCAACAGGAAGGTTGATCACGCGGGACTGGAAGGAGAGGGGCTCCGTGAGAGGTGGGGGAACCCCAACTGAGCCCCAGGAATGCCCGGAGGGCAGGCAGACGAGGGTATGCAAAGCTCCCATGAAAGTCAGGCAGAGTTAACTTCTCAAAGCTCTACAAAAACCGGTCAAAGAAATAAGGGCGGTGGCAGGGGGGGAATATATAAATATCAGAAAGACTCCAAAGTACCATTATGCGCAGATAGGAATTTCTCCTTAGAAAATTCGAGAGAATCAATAGACAAGCTATTAGAAAATAAAAGAGTCCAGTAAAGTAGCAGATAAGATAAACATTCAAAACAACCAACTTTTCTAAATACAAACTCTGTATAAATCAGTCAAGGGGAAAAAAAGGTATTTTTCAAAGTAGCAATAAAAAATATAAATGCAAAATATAATACAGATAGAAACTGAAGTCTTTGTAAACTAAGATCTCTCTGAAGAAAATTACAAAATCTTGCTGTAGTGTGTTTTTAAAAATCTCAGCAAGTGGACATTTAAACTAAAACACCAAAGGGTTTCTTTTGGGAATGTGAAAAGCTGATATTAAGAATTACCTAAAAAAAAATATAATCAATGATTTGAATGAAAATGACCTAACAGATATCAAAATTTACTGCCAAGTTAAAGTGAAAACTAGCATCAAAAACAGAATACCATTTTCTACACTGATCAGATTAGCAAAAGAGCTAAAATCTGAGGATGCCCAGTGGTGGCAAGGGCACTTATGTATATTCTAAGTGGGCGTATAAACCAGCAAAAACTTTTTTGGAGGTCAAGTTACATTCTATACAGAAATTTTAAATGCACATAACCTTTGAGCCAGTAATTGTGCAGGGAATTTAACCATCAATATACTTGAAAAGCACACCAGGATACCTGTTTAAAGATGTTCATCACACCTTTTCGTTGTAATAAAAAAAGAAATGGAAGCAATCTAAATATCCACCTGTACGGACTTGTTACGTAAATTCTGACATATCCACATATAACACAGTAAATTATGGAGCACTTAAAGAGAAAGGGATAGACCTGCAGGTTCTGGTGTTGAAGGATCTTCCTAAAGTCTATGAGATGAAAAAGCCAGGGCAGAACACTACAATCTAATTCCACTAAAAAGTTTATGCTGGTGTGTACACAGAGTATTCTGAAGGAAAACCTAAAAAACCATTAACCATGGTTGCTTTTGGAAAGAGGCATTAGAGGTGAGAAAGAAGGAGGAGACTTACTTTTCATGTTTTAGACCCCTATGTGCTGTTTTGAATTTATCATTTGTATAAAGTTAAAAAAAAAATGTGGTTCCTTCAACTGTAGTACTGGTACAGGAACAAACAGATCAGTGGGATGAAACTAAATGTCCAAGATGTTTTTATATATATACACACACATATATTAAATATACACCATCTATGAATTTCATGAATGGTTTCAGCAAAACTTCAAATCATCAGTAAGCATTTCAATAAATGATACAGACAACCGTGATTCATTTGGAATAAGACAGTTAGACTCAAGGTCTTCAAGAAAACGGAAACCACTCCAGATATTTTAAACAGAAAGGGACTTAATACCGGGAGTTCAGTTTCAAATTTGTTGGGAGGGCTGGAAAATAAAAATGGGAGGGCTGGTGTTGCCCAGAGGTCAGGGGATGCGGGAAGCCACCACCTGGGCCAGAGCCCAGACCCACCGGAACCCAGACCCACCGGAGCCCAGGCCCACCACACTGCCGCTCGGCGGCCCACCCTCATCTGCTGCCACCTCGCTGCCAGAATCAGGAGAAAGCCCTCTCCCACCTCTCCTCCTTCCCGTCTCATGCAAGTGCCTCTCACTGCAAAAGCTAACCAGAGCCCACTGCAAGGGGGTCTGGGAAGTGGCTAAAGCCTTCCAGCCCCTGTAGTACGTTCGGGGAGAGCGAGGATAAGCAGGGGAGATGATGAACTATTTCAACAAGTGGTGCTGTAAAAATCAGTTATGCTTCTGGGGAAAAAAAAAAAAAACTCAGGTTAAATTTCCTAATTCACACCTTATATACACCTAAAATTCAGGAAAAAATTAAAATTTAAAAGAAATAATAATGAAACCACCTGAATTAGACATAGACTATCAAGGGATTTCTACATTGTATACTCCTGCACCATTTAATTTTTTGCACTGACTTTTATGACCTACAAAAACAAAGACTGTGCCACTGTAGGGCTGGGAATGGGGTGACATGGTCAAGTTTTAACAGCATGGGGCATATAAATTAAATAACATAAGATACTAAGAGCAACACCAGCCTGCGACTAGGCCCTAATCTCTGTGCCCCCAACTCCCAGGCCAGGTCCCACGCCCTCCCGCGAACGAGCGCGCTCTCCTGAGGCCAGCACTCACTAAGGGTCGGGGGGCCCCCCGCCCCCCCACCTCAGCAGCTCTCTAAGCAGGAAGCCAGGTGAGGGCAGCACGGGTGTTAAACAGACATGTTCAGACACAACAGAAGTGACGCTTCGGAACACAGTCCCGGTCTTCTTTCCCCCCTTGTTCCTGTTTGGTGACCTTTGTTTTTCTACCCTTTATATTTGCTTTGGAGGTGCTTTTTTGTGGCCTTACTTGAAATAACAGACCATATCTGAGGACCTGAAACTGCCAGACTAGAAACTGCTTTCAACCACTGCCCCCCCGAGATGTAATTCATGGAATGGTATTTTGAGAGGTGTTACCAGAAACAGCAGGAAAAAAGCACTCTTAGGCAGATATGGTTGAGAAATGCTGTATAACCTCCTCTTGGCAAAAAAAAAAAAAAAAAAAATCACAAAGTATATCATATTTACGTATGAAAGGTGCTTCTGTAAAGAAAACAGTGTAACTTTATTTAATACCAAATGCTTCCCCGATTTCTTTTTCGCACAATGCACAGACACTTTGGGGACAATGTATGGTTTTAAAACAACATTCCATGATCTGTTAGCTCCTGCTCTCCATCACCCTAAAGGAAGAGCAGCCAGTAGGACACCAGGTCTCCAGAAGTTCAGGGACTGGCAGATACTCTCCCACCGGATGAAGAAGCTGGTCCTAATTTTCTTCATCGAGCAGACTCTCTGACTTCAGCTGATCCTTCCTTATGCTCTCCAAGTTCAGCTGTTGGTATTTTCTTTTAAAAAAGCCACACTAAAAACGAAGAAGGGAAGCCTGATTACAGGCCTAAGATACCTGTTTTAGAAAACCATTTCTCTGGTTGTTGCCAAGATGGCCCCTGTTTCTCATGCTCCTTCTGAATCTCTCCTGATAATCCAATCCTTCGAGACCTTTCCACAAGCTTTTCCTGGTGCTCAGTCCCCAGTCAGAAGAGATCTTCCACCTTCCTCTGAACCCCCAGAGCGCTTTAATCTTTTTAACCTAATTAGTCCTGCAAAGTGCTGCAGTTTCAGCTGTACTGGCTCTATTTATGTAAAAGTGCTCAGCCTACCAGGCTGAGGACAGAAAGGGCTTAAACACAGCCTCCCACATCAGGGAACGCAGAATCGAGTGGGAAGAGAAATAATTACAGGACAGCGTGACAACTGCCGGCTGGAAGGGTTTCTAGAGGGCAGCTCAGAGGAAAAGCATGGAACTTGGCTCAGAGGACTCGAGGAATCTCCAGGGCTGAGTTTTAGGGGGAGAGTGTGAGCCAGAGGGAAAGAGGGAACAGGCACGGGAGGCGGGTGTAGGGAGCCTGACGGCAAGCACAGAGACACGAACCTACTCAGCTCAATGTGCTTGGAGAAAAAAGCAAGAACTTATGGGTGGAAGCCAGAGCGTGGAGGGTCTTCAAAAGCAGTGAAAGAGTCTGAACACTAAAGCAGGGGAAGGAAAGGATTTAAACAGGAGAACGACGCCAGATCTGTTTTGGGAAAATCTCTTCAATTAGATCTTTGTCTTTCTCATACAGAAACTCTCTTACTTATTTGTCTCAACAGGTGTGCGGGTGAAGGAAGAGGGAAAAGTGGCCACCAGGCCAGGGTAGCTGCTGGAAGTCAGGGGCTGGAGGTCCTAAGGAGAACTGGGCCCAACACCAGAGCCTTTATGACCGTAAGTGGAACTGACCTTGACTAGGATGACTACAATCACGATCAAAACCAGAAGGCCACCAACACTGCTTTTAATGATGAGAGGCAGGGAATATGCCTCCTCATCTTTCAGGAAGATGACAGTGATCTGGAACAAGACAAAAAGATCATCCGATAAATCGGGTAAGGCCAAATGAGAAAATAATTCTACATGTTATTTTACGGAGCAAAATATGAGAACCTGGCAGCATTCAGTGTATTGATCAAGGCTGATGACACTAAAGCAAAAGCTAAACATTGATGCAGCGTCTAAAATTATCTAATGAGATTTCTGGTTTCCAGTTTCATGTGTAAGGAGCTTGGAAGTCACCACTCCATGCTAACAAGTAAAGAGCTGAAAAGACTGAAAAATCAACAACTCTTCTTGGATCCGTATGAAAGGAGGACACAAGGGAAACTGCTGCCCCGAGTGGAGAGACAGTCAGGTGAACACAGAGCAGAGGGTCGCCACAGCTGGGCAGGAAACCCGAACTACAAGGGAGGGACCGCTGGATACTGCTGACAACTCTGGGGCTTACAAACTCCAGGGAACCCGTCACTGGGGTGAGGTTTACCTCCAGGGGCTTAACCAGGTTCCCCATTAAACACTGGAGAAAAAAAAAAACCATTCGTGCTTCCCTCAGGAGAAGGGAAAAAGGAATCATTTTGAAATAAGCCAGAGAACTCCGTTCAGGACAAGGCCTGCCCTCAAGGGAAACTAGTTAACCACAGCCTAACCTGTTGGGTATTAGCAGAGCCTAACTGTCCCGGGGGAAGGGAAGTACCTAATTCAAGCCCACTCTAGCCATCCTAAGGGTATTTTTTTGCTGTTCTGTTTTCGGAAAAAAAAAAACATCAACAGCTGTACTGGTCACAGTGCAGAGGCACATGCTTATTAAGAGACTGAGACCTAATCACAGAATGATGGAACGCTTCCCTCCCGGCACCTCACCATGTTACTGAAGGTCTATTTACAGCAGTTCCTTTTACTTAGTACATCATGTCCAGCTTTCAGACCAGGAATTAAAACAATTACAATGAATATGCTAAGGGCTCTAATGGATAAAGTAGACAGCACACAAGAACAAAGACAAAGAACATGCATACAGGCAATGTAAGCGGAGAGATGGAAATCCTAACAAAGAACCAAAAAGAAATGCTAGAGATAAAAAAAAAAAGCCATAATAGAAATAAAGAATGCCTTTGACATGCTCACTAGGAAACTGGAACCGGCTGAGAAAAAAATCTCTGAGCTACATTTATCAACAGAACCCTCGAAAGCAAAGAGAACAAACACTGAAGGAAAAAAAAAACAAAAAAAACACCAAAAACCAGAGCACAGGGAAATTATCCTATGACCAAAATACTTTATAGAAACTATTTTAGTCTCTTATCTAGAAGAGCTAAGTCTGCCAGGAGACTGTGACCTTCTGTTATGGAGTCTCTGACAGTTTAACAGAGAGTCCCAAAGAATTAAGGTCTCTAGGTTATAGAGACTTGGGGAGGAAGGTACAGCTCAGTGGTAGAGTCCATCTTGGCACGCACGAGGTCCTGGGTTCAATCTCCAGTACCTCTGGTAAATAAATAAATAAACCTAATTACCTTCCCTCACAAAAAAAGGCCTGAAAAAATTTTAAAAATAAAATAATTTGGGGGGACGGTATAGCTCAAGTGGTAGAGCACATGCTTTGCATGCATGAGGTCCTGGGTTCAATCCCCAGCACCTCCTCTGAAAATAAGTAAATAAACCTAATTACCTCCCCCGCCCCAAAAGAAAACTGAAGAAAAAAAAAAAAGACTACGTGAAATTAAAAAAAATAAGAACACTGAGAGACAGAAAATCAAGATTCCACATCCAGCTATGCCCCAAGCTCTCCATCTCAAAATGATGACCTATTTTTTAATGATCTCTAAGTCCCTTCCAGCTCTGTTCTGACAACTCTTTTTGATCTTGCCTAATGACTGATGGGACATTTTTCCCACATGAGATGCATGACAAAGATACAGTCTGCTTTTCACCAGACTAACGTCAGAGGCATGATAATAAATGCAACATGGCATCCATGTGTACTGTTGAAAAGCTCTCCCATGAGAAGCCACCCCAGCACCACCGTCCAAAGGCTCTCTCCATTCCTCAAGTCTGAGCTTCCTCTTACTGATAGGAGTCAGCTGGAGAGTTCAGGGGACGTGCTTCCCAAGTGAGACCCAGATAAGGCACTCCCAAGTCGTGGCCAGCACACAGTCCATGGCCAGAGCATGTTCCCAGGACCTAAGTGGGGCCAGAGGGCCATCACGATGTCTCTGCCTGCCCAAAACACTGACTTCCCTTCATGCAAGTGTTTAAGCACCAAGGTCGGGGATGCTTTGGAGAGAATTTCTGCATGGGGTGGAAGGCTGGACAAATTTACCTTTGAGTTCTCAATGATGTTATAAACACTTCGTAGGGTAGACCCTCCCTTGCAAATAGGGAGGGAGCAAAGCAATGGAGATGGAGGAACAGGAAGGGAGCTGGTTTTCTCCTTCAGGAAAGAGTGAAGTGGGGAGGAGTGGGGGAGGACTTGAGAACCTGAGGTTTAGGAAATTAATGGAAGGAAGTCCCCAGATGACAGTGGTGTTAACAGGACAGATTTGAGTAGAAGAAATGCTCCCATTTCTCAAAGCCTCTTCCCTTTTTCCTCTTCTACACCCACAGTTTCCTGAAGTGCCCCAGATCTGTTCTGGTAGAGGTGAAGGGAGAAGCAGGTCGAGGACACCACTGCTTTGGCAAACACTGGTGGTGGCCGACCCAGTAGCCATTCTCTCCTTTAAGATTCTGTTCAGAAATCATGGCTGGTTTAAGCTAATCATGACAAAGCCATGCCCCTTGGTCAGTGATTGACACCAGATCTAGTTCTCACTAATAAGATGCAAGGAGATTACCTGTTGGGAGTTTTTAGGAAACTCTTCCTCCCTGAAAAGGGGAGGCAGATGAAGAAAAACTCCATTTGTTGCTGACCTCTTGGCTTTTGTATTCCGTGAAAATACAGCACTGGGAGAAGTGGAAACTCTGTGCTGGCCACGAGGGAAGGCATTGCCAACACACAGATAAAAGCACACGGTATTCAAAGGAGCCAGGCCGTTGGCCCTGGTCCACCTCCCTCACTCAGATAAACAACAGATGACTTTATGGTACATTAGTGGGAGTTTTCGCTTACTTGCAGCTGAAATGCACTTGGATACAAGGCTATTTATACTCGTAGATTCGTTCTAAGTCAGGTGCTTATTACCAGAAACTAAATTCTTTGCTTCAGATACTAAATTTAAAGAAAGGAAAATAATTATGGGGAATCTACACTACAGGAATAAAAGCACCAGTAAGCAAAAGGGGGAAATAAATGATTTAAGAATGTGTATGTTAACAGTAGCCCTCTTTGGGAAGACAGAAGAAAATGAGGGCATGGGGAGTGAAGGAACCACTATTTTTTAGTTGGGATCTTTCTGTAAAGCTTGAATTTTCTCGCTTTTCTATTTCTAAAAAATCTGAGCAATAGGATAATGGGGCACTTTTCTTTCTTCTGTATCATTTTCTGTGTTAGAAATACTTAAAAATAAAAGGAAATGTTATTTTTGACATGTATAGAGAACTGTGCCTTTCTCCTCGTCCAGGGAGGATATCAGAGGACCTAGTATTTAGCGATCCAGTCTCACACCTTTGATTCTCTCTTGGATCTGGAATCAGGCCTAACCAAAGAGCTCACAGATGGACCATCTCTGATGCCAGCAGCAGGCTGAGGTGAGTGTCAACAAGGATGACAACTCAGGGTGGCACACAGCGCAGTCAGCCCACAGATCACAGATGTCAGTTTGACTTGCAGTCATATTTCTACAAAATGAACCCAAGAGCTCTAGTACTTAGTCTAAGACTTATAAAAGACGTATACATCCCTGAGTACCGTAACTGTGCACTATCGTAACTGAACAGTTACTACACACTAAGAAGAGGGTTAATATATACAAAATAATAATTTCTCACAGGAAATTAAAAAAAATCTTCAAATCAAAGTATATATGGCTGTTGACTACTGCCTAGCTATTTCCACTTAGACTTACTCAGCTGAGGCCTCTTATTCAATCACCTCATTTCAGAGACAGAAAAACTGAGGCAGAGGCTGAGTAACTCAAAGTCACAGAGGTAGGTGGTAGCAGAATCAAGATCAAAGGCAGTAAGACTGAAAACAGGAAGAGGACAACAGCCGAGTGCCAGTACAGGGGCTCTGAGGCCGGACACAGCTTTCCCAGGACACCACCCAGAAAACCAGAAAACAGCCAGGGATTACCTTAGTTCTGTGGTTCTCTGAATTCAGCCCCTCATAGAGAGACTTGTTGAAAGATATTTCACCAAGGATCTGCAGCTCAGTTACATCTCTTGGTAACTATAAGATGGGGAGGAAACAAAACATATTTTAGACATGGACTTACTGTTTTGGGACAGCAGTCACCATCTTTCCTTTTACACGTGTTACTTCTCCAGTATTCCTTAGTCAAGTGAATGGCCTCAGCAACCACAAAGTTACCCAAGCAAGAAACGTGCAGTTATACCTCAACTTTTCCCTTACCCTTTAGCTCACACCACACCCCCACCCATCCACCCACCCCAAGTCAGTTCTTGACAGTTCTTTTTTAGCCTCTCTTGCACCTGTCCCTTTTTCTCCAACCTCATTGCTACTTCTTCAGTTCAGATCTCATCATTCTTACCTGGATCACTGCAAGACATTAAACTAGATCGGAGTTCCTACTTCTGCATAAGTGATCAGGGAAGGCCTCTCTAAGAGGGTAACATGTGAGCTAAAATATAAGAAGAAACCACACACGAAGATGTGGAAGAGCAGTGTCATGCAGAAGGAACAGCAAGTACAAAGGTCCTGTGGTCAGAACAATACTGGCAAGCTGGAGGCAGGGAAGGGGAGAGTACCAGGAGATGAAGGGCAAGAAGTAAGCAGATACCAGACCATAGGGGGCCTTGCAGAACACTGAAAAGGTACGAATTTTAGTCTGAGTGTATTCCAACTTTTTTTTAAGTAGATGAGTAGCATAATGTTTGCTGTTAAAACATTTCTGGAGGGCATGGCAAGAGCAGAGGCAAGATGAGCAGAGCAAGATGGGTTATGTTGCCATAAACCCAACAAGAGATGGCGACCTGACCTACAAGAGTAGCGGTGGAGATGGAGAGATGTGAGTGGATTTAGAATATATTTGGGGGCGGGAGGAGTAGAATGACAGGGCTTGCTCTGGAACAGAGTGGGTGTAAGAAAGAGAGGAGTCGAAAGTAATTCCTCAAATTCCTGGTAAGTAACTAGAGTAAGTTACCCTTGTAAGTTACTCAGAGTAAGTGGGTAACAAGGTGGATCAAGAGACCTGTTTCGGACATATCTGCAGACGCTATTATCCTTTCTAGGGAAGGTGCCAGTGAAACAGCAGGATAATCAAATCTCAAGTACCTGCTCTGATTGACTGAAGGAGAGCTCTGCAGCCACGGTTACATTTTCTTTATCCGAGGAGATGTTACAGCTCACCGAATGCCATTCTTCCACAAGCTGGAAAAGGATGTTAGAACAATCCCTTTACGGGTGGAAAAGCTGGGAATTTTAACACTTAGCACACAGAGCACTTCACGGGCCCAGAATAGAGGGTGTGCGCAGTTTCCGCGCTCACTTGGCTGGAGCAAAGCGGCATCCTTGCCAAACGTGAACCGGTCAAGAGGCTAAAGAGAGCTTTGGGACCGCCCTGCCTGTGCTTTCAGGGGATACCTCAGAAAAACAGTACCGGGCGTCTCATGTCACCCGCTTCAGGCCCTCCTCCCTCCCTCGGCCTCTCGGGTCGGCCGCGCTCACCTGAACCGGATCGCTCCCGCAAACACGCTCCCGGGTCTGAGTGCACACAGTGTGAGCCTGAAACGAGAGCCACGGCCGCGACCAACTGAGGATGCCAAGCCGCCATAGTTACCCGCCCTCTCCCACATCCCGCGACAGCCGTTGTAATGCGCAGGCGCGAGGCCCGGCGCTAGGACCCGCCGGGCAGACCGGCCGGCCGGCCGCGTCTCGAGGAAGTCTCGCGGTGTTTGTATTTGAACAAGCTGGCGGGTGCCGGCCATGGCGGCA